AAAAAAAAAAAAAAACAAGTCAATAAGACACAAGTAATCCTCTGTCCTCTGGAAGGCAGAGTCACATGTATACACGGAACAGTATCAACTGCGGTATTTAATTATTTTCATCGACTAAAATAAGTGCTAAATTCCACGTTTAAAAGGGGCCTACCATGACATAAGTTTCACCTTAGTGGTTTGCAGGCTTTTGTTTCTTTTCTGTAAGAGCAATTCCTCTCTCTTTGTAAAACCATTTTATTAATCGGCTTGTGCCACGACTTAAGAATCAGCTGTCATAGTTGACCTTACTTTCTCTTTGACATCATTTGTATGTCACTGAACATGATTTGTATATCAAAAACAGCAATCAATTTTCATCCACTCATTTCAATAAAAGCAAATTGCATCACTTCTCTCTACGGAAAACCTCGAACCGTGACTTCGTCGTGTAAATTTGCGGCAGCAAAGAAAGACGAAAAAGCTAACACTTTTGGATCAAACCGTTCTAAGGTTAAAACTCTATGGTGTAAAATAATTATAATTTAATCTTGCCGGTATCACTTGTAATAATAATAATAATAATAATAATAATAATAATAATAATAATAATAATAATAATAATAATAATAATAATAATAATGATAATAATAACTATCCAGTTCTAGAACGGGAGGAAACCATTAGTCACATTGTGGAAAAGTGCAAGAAATTGGCTCCGAGAGAATACATAGAGAATACTTCATGGAAAGAGCGGGCGTACAGTATTTACGCACGAGTTGTTGACGTATCAGAAATCTCACTCGTTCGCTGTTCTCACTCGTTCGATTTCTGATACAAAAACAACGAGTGCGTAAATACCGTACAAAGCCCTTTCCATGCAGTGTTGTGTTTATTATATACATACTGAGACATTCATCATTTTAGCAGCCTTTTATTTCCGGTCTCACCGAAATGCTAAAATTTGCCGCTAGAGGAAACGAAGTATCAGCTGCAGTAAAAACGTTTGTTAAAAATGTAATGAGGGTAAGGATATGAGGTAATCCAAGATTAAGAATTACAAGTACTGTAATGTTAGCTTTTTGTTTTGAATGAAAGAGGCTCGATATAAAGCATAACTTAAGTTTACGTCTCGTTCCGTTTTTTCCCATTCCGCTGTTGTTTAGTCGTATCTCTAGAATTTTCGTCATCTACAGTGAAACAAACGAAACTATTTAAGCTTAATACACTTTAATTTCCGAGATGTTTTTGACTTTCTTTACGAGAAAAACTCTTTGAGAAAAACGTTTCTCGTTGAATGTCTGCGAAGAAACTTGTTAAGCTGCAAGCTTCAAGCGCCTATAAAAGGCGGGAATTTCGGCGCGAAACTCACACACCTCTGTGGCTTCTGATTGGACGTATTATTTTTCTCACACGTGAAAAAGACACCGCTCGCTATTCTGATTGGACGTATCATTTTTTTTTTTCACGTGTGGAGACACGACCAGGTTCGTAAATGTGTTCACTGGAGACTGTCAAAAGTTTGGTTTTGCTCCCGCAACTGGTATGATCACGAGCCAAGGCAAGTGGAGGAATCAGAAGAATGCAAGTTACTATCATGGGATTTTCCTATTCAAGCTGACCACAAAATAGAGCGCAACAAACCAGAAATCTTCTTGTAGACAAGAAGGAAAGGAGCTGCACATTAATAGATATTAGCATTCGTTGCAAATTTTTCTTCCATTTAATTGGCCGAGAGCCCACCACGTGACCTGCAAATAACTACCTACAAATAAAGGTCTGCTCAAGCGCAATGTCATCCAACTTTGTTCCGCTGCAAATAATATTCTGCTCATGCGTAAATGAAACCACGCTTTTCTCCTTCCTTCGATCGCTCTTGTGTGAAAATGGCAGATCGCTTCGCTTCCGAAAGACATTGATTTACATATTTCTTGAGAAACCAAACTCGATGATCGAATGTAAAACAATTATTGAACTCAGTTGTCGCAAAATATCGTGCGTGATTTGTCAATCTCTTGCAGGCAGTGGTGTGTGGTAACAGGCGATGCCAGGTCTGTAAGTACCTGGAACCGGGAGAAAGGTTTACCTCTTACAGAACTGGAAAGAGCTATACAATTAACTACGAACCGGACTGTAATAGTAGTAATATTGTCTACTTGCTGTCCTGTAAGGTTTGTCATGCGCAGTACGTTGGGTCAACAACAACAAAATTTAGGCTTAGGTTTAACAATCGTAAGGCCCGATTTAGAGCGCATTCAAGGCTTTCTTTTGAGGGTAGAAACAACGAAGATCTTTTGTATAGACATTTTTTTGGCCCGGGACACCATGGTCTTGAGGATGTCAGTATACAGTTAATTGACAGAGTGTCCGGGGAAGAATCAGCTCTCCGGGATAAAGAAGGCCTATAGGATAAAGGGATAAAGTGGGCCTATAGGTTGAACTGTATTCAGCCTCAGGGCTTGAATATCAGTGACTTGTTTTACAGTCAGAATAGGGCGACTAGGTCTTGCGTCCGGTAAGAGCGCGCGCGTGTTTATCTTCCTTTGTAGCGCGTGCAAGTTTTCAAATTTGTTCGTTGTCATGTAATAATGGTGTGTGATGCTTGTAACGGCCATTCACCCTGATGAAGGCCGTTTAACACGGCCGAAATATAGGTGAGAGACGAAAAACATATTGTTTTACTCTTCACTT